ACTCTCAGGCACCAATTTTCATCCAAATATCGACTATACTTATACTAATACCTAAATTATTTGGAAAAAATAGAAATAAAAATGAAACTTCTACACCCTGTATCTCCGAAATTAAGCATCTTTGGACATACATCTATACGAACAATTTTTCTTAATTTTATCTGCAGAATATGCTGCCGAAGTTTCCGGAATACAGTTCGGACCACCCTGTATATTCTTTTAATTTAATGTAATTACCAATAAACTCAGTTATGTGTAATTACATGTTAAAAAAAGTAAAATGCACGTTTAAGTAAAATAGTTCGAGTTAACACAGAATTCAACTCTAAAGTATACACATAGGAAGGTTCAATATTACTCTGACAACGCGGCCTTTAAAAACAACTGTATAAATTATAAATACAGTATAAATCATAAATACACAAGATGATTCAATATTAGATTCAAAAACTGCAAGAAGAGATACTAGTAACTAGATTCTTTTAAATTACTGTTTAAACATATTAACGCATATACATATTATAAATTATCGTTAGTAGTATAGTACTTACTGTTCAGAAACAGAAATTTTCAGAAAAACATTGTTTCTTTTTTTAAAGTTTTATTAAATGAATTACTTTAAGTTACTTGAAAAAACATTTTTTCAAAGATTTTCTACGTAGATTACGTAATTATTACGTAATCGCATTATTACGTACTACGTAGATTACGTAAATTACCTTCTAAAAGACCAAGATAGCTTTTTATTTGCAAGACCAAGACCAAGGTAAATCTTGGTCTTGCTCTTGCATTTGCTCATCACTACATCGGGCAAATTTTGTTTCCTTCTTCAAAAAGTTTCATTTGCATTAAATTGCTTAAAATAATATTTATTTAAAGATTTTTCATATAGAGTGTATGTAAAATCCAGCCTTTAGTAATAATCCATTAAATGTGCAAGACTTGCGAGAGTCTTGCAGTAAGACCAAGACCAAGACTAGAAACTATTGACCGCATTTATTACTGTTGACATTCCCTATAGGTACTCATGATTTTTTTTATAATCAAAGCTCAGACTGCCATCAAATATTAAAGCAATAACTCCTTTTGCGTATGCCGCAGTCCGCTGCGACTTCGACATTTTTATTTATTTATTAGGTGCCTTGGGAGCGAGCAAGGTTTTAGGCTTAAATCTCGGTTTCTACTCCGATATAGAGATAGAGCTTATCTTTACATATTGAAAACGAACCGGTTCGGCGTACAGTTCTCATGGATATGTTACGGGAAGAGTTGGAGCAAATGCTTTCTCTATGTATCGTTCGTCGACATTTTAGGAATAAATATATAGGAGTACATCTATTGTAACGATTTTATTACCGAACGTACTTGGAGCGTTTCATTCTCAATTGCAAAAATTTATTACGATTGACATGATTGTTAGTTTTCTCGATAAATGCTTGTCTTACTACCGTATTTTTCAGTGATGTTGAACAAAAAGTTATGCCAACGGTTTATCTAGCCTAGGTATATTTCCACCAAATCTAAACACTTGCAATAAAATACTCGTTTTTTTTTTGTTAACACACTTAGTTTAGTTCTTACGAAGATAATTTCAAAGATGCTCTTTACTGGAATACAAATTTCTATAATCAACAGAAAATTACAGAGCGATCAATAATGCTTGAAATTGTTGGGGCGATTCTTGAAGAAACTCGAATATTTAGCGGCTGTTATCACTAGCGCCAAAACAAACTAAGAATTAAGTAATATTACTAATACTTTGACGATATTTAAATTCGTTTTCATAAAATAGATTTACTCCAAAAAAATGTTTGTTTGAAGGTATCAAAGATACAAAAAACATATTTGGAACTAGTAAATAGTAATAAGTTCTATATATTTTTATAAATTTTAAATACAAAATGTGCCTTTATATGAGCTTACCATATTATTCCATCTAATTATTTCGAAATCATCCAACTATACGTTTTTTATATTTAAAAAATAATTTAAAAAAATGCGATTCTGTATTGATTAAAAGTTACTTCGTCTATTACGATCAATCTTGTTCCAATGTTTCTGACCTTGTTTTCCAGTATCCATATGTTCCATGCGCATATATGCATTCGTTTAATGTTTAAAAACTATTTTATTGTGTATATTAGCAGGTTAAGATCTGCTTGTTCTTTTATTAGTGTTAGTTTGTTCTGTTGTTAGGGTGAGTATGGTTTGGAAATATTTTCAGGGCACATAAATTAATATGGTGTAGTATACTTTCTTTATCGAATTTAATATATTTATTAACATGCAATGTTTTATAGAATTCTCAGGGGTGATTGACATATAAAATGGTTAAACTAAAGAAAAGTAATTGTTGTAATGTAATGTTGCTCATCAGGTAAAAGACCATATACCATAACGTGGTATACGAATGCTTCCAAAACCAAAACAGGAACAGGGATAGGAGTATTTAGGCCAAAAACTAAATACACCGAACCAATGGATACCGACTCCAGCATCCTTCAGGCAGAAATCTACGCTCCTGGAAGATGCGTACAACTTATCTTAGATAGGAACTATCGGAAATAAGAAAAAGTCAACTTATCCGATAGTCAAGCAGTATTAAAAACAATCAACTCGGTAACCACCAATTCGAAGTTGGTCAAAGAATATCCAGAGAAAGTGAAGAAATTAGACAAAGATAAAAAAGTCCTCTTACTCTGGGTATCCCCCAACAAGGGATAGAAGTAAATGAAAAAGCAAACGATCTAGATAAAAAAGGAGCGAACACTCCCACTAAGTGGACCAGAAGCGTTCTGCTTTCTCAAGTGGAAACCAACTTACAGCGGAACTCAAAATCCTGGAAGACTTTATCCGTAACGTAGATTGGAAATCCTCCAACGGTCTAAGAGACTCGACGAAATTTCTCAGAGAAGACTCAAATATTTTTCTAGATTTAAGTAAGAACAATGTTCGGATTTTCACGGAGTTTTTAACAGGACACTGTCTCTTCAACGAACACCCCAGTAGATTGAAGCACCAGAACACTTCATCACTGAGTGCGTCTAGTCGACAACCATTCGTGCCATGAAATTTGGTACGATTCAACTAACCTCTAGAAAACCGTCTCACTTACTGGCCTTTGTCAAAGCTCTGATGCTGTGTGATAACTCGTTATAACTCAAGAAAGGGAGACAATAGAATGTTTGCGGTGATTAGCCCCCCTCCCACACATTCTACATTCTATCCCTTCTTTAGTCTTTTTATTCAATGTGTTAATTTGTTTTTCGACGCTATATAGTTTGTTAATAGGGTACTCAACATACTTTTAATGTTTTCTTAAGGTACCTATTGTTCCCTAGTGTATAGTGCCTTGCCTACCGACTGAACTGAATAGTTAAAAGGGTTACCATTACAATTGTAAAATATTCAGAAGTTTATTGGTCCATTATTCATATGAAGGAGACGTCAATTTGTCAATGATTGACTGACTGCATTTGTCATTAGGTCGTTATCAACATAAACCTAAGTTTTAACGTTACATTAAACATTACCTTAAATACTTATGAGATTTATTCTCGAATTGTTTCAATTACATTAATTACTCCACGCATATAATTAATTCTCTTTCTAAATGCTCAAGCCAGATTGTACAAGATAATGTCTGTTTGCAAAATGGCGCCCGCCGGGACTCTGTATCAATCTGAAGAAACAGAAATCTTTTTAATTAATAGCACGTATAAATTAATATTAAAAATGTCAAAAGCTTATCGCCATTCGAGTTACTTTATTAAACAATGCCATTGTATTATAATATGTTTGATATTGGTTCTTAATTAAATTTAATTGTTTACTGATATCAATATAAAGTACTATAACTTTTCTCTCTCAGTAATATATAATAATATTCATATAATATAAACGAATAGCAGTAATTATTTTTAGTAATAATTTTTTTTTATATGACTTAATTGTAAACTAATTTTGGTTTTCTATTAGTCATACTACTATATTATTAAAAATCACTTATCAAAAAAACACTTTGCTTTTAACATTATGTTTTAATTATCTGCTGATGATTGTTCGAGTTGAAAGTAATGTATTTTGGTGTATTATTGCGGTGCAATTATTTTTTTTGCTGATATTTTCCGCCATATATGCCTACCCTCAACTATATTTTTAGCCGACCATACCAATAGGTATGGTAGGCTATTAAGATCGGCAAAAAAAAGTTTTTTTAATTTCACTCAAAATGAGTTATTTGGGTCATAAATGACCTAAATACAAAATATTTTCATGGTGTCTGTCTGTCTGCCGTCTGTAACACGATAACTCAAAAACCGCTGAACCGATTTTAACCAAATTTGGCACAAAACTACTGTGGCACCCGAGAATCTGGCCATTAGTTTTTGGTGGGGGTGGGGGGTTGGGAAGGGGGTATGGGAGGGGGTTAAAAATTTAAAAAAATCGTAACTCCAAAATTACAGTCTAGCGAAACGCGGTTTTCAAATTAAGATTAGGAATAATATTTGCAACAAAATTTGTAATAACATCAAAATCAGTCAAAGTCGCAGTTTTCGAGATATTAATATATTTTAGTATGGGCGGCTATACGTGCCTCCCAGCGCCAATTTTTTATTATACTACGTACTACAAAAATGACATTTATATTTTAACATACTTATTATGTTCTCTAAATTATATTTATTATTTCTTTTATAAAGAATTGAGTAAAAATCATGCTCTATGTTTCCACTAAATGTATCAATTTTACTCACCATATTTTACGAACTTATCCTTTTATCTCTTACTATAATACTTTTTTACATTGTGTGATTTATATTACAAGTTAATATATAATTAATTAATAGTAGTAAATAATTTACAATTTGTTACAATATTTTATCAGATATGTGAGATTTATTCATTCGTTAAACATAAAAAAACATAAAAACAATTTTCTATTGACTTCACAGGGTTTGAGCTGAACGTATTTTACTAAGGTTAAATAAAGAGCCAAATAATATTTAATGTTTTATTTTTACGTTTTTATTCTACTTAATTGAAAGAATCGTTTACATACGTCATTTGTCTTACACTCATTTCCGTCGAGGAGCATTGTTCCTGGCCAATTAAAAGTTGTTGAATTTCTTCGAGAGTTTTTCCCTTTGTTTCTGGCATATATTTAACAATAAAAATCAAACCAGCAAAACTGCAAATAGAGAAAAACAAAAACGGGTATGACATCGAACCAATTTCGTCAAACGATATTTGAAATATTTTCGATACTAAAGATCCCATAATCACAGAGAAAGTATCAGCAATACAAAGTGCTTTTGCCTTTACATTTGTTGGAAATAGTTCACTTAACACTGTAACCATTCCAAAAGAAAGACCGATGCTGAACATTATGTTATACATAACTAACGCTGTTATCGGTAGAAAGAAAATATATTCGGTATTTACTTGGAAATCTTTAAGAAAGAAATATACCGACAAAGCAAAAACTGATAAGCCACACCCCGCGGCGGATGTGATAAGTAGTTTTCTCTTACCAAACCGATCTACCACAAAACAGGTCGCAATGGTCACTGCTATTAATTCAACACTACAGTAAACTATAACTGATATGGTCGCATCGATACTACTACCGGCTTCTTTAAAGATGGTTTCAGTATAAAACATGCAAGGATTCTTTCCACTAAACTTATTAGTTAAACACACCATGATGAAAATACAGCAAGCTCGTCTGTTACTTGAAATCGTCAGCAAATCCAAAATCCCAGCTTGGCCGCTAGTTCTTTCTTGCCTTACCACGGATTGTGCCAGTAAATCCATCTCTTGATCAACGTCCTTTTTACCTCTCAGTGTCTGTAGGCTTTTCTTTGCAGCTTCAAAATTTCCTTTTTTAATGTAATAATACGGCGATTCCGGAACCAAAGAAAATGCGATCATATGTATAAGGGGTATTAGAGAGCATATTAAACTGGATACGAATATATTACACATAGAACCGATAACGTTAATGAATAGGGTTCCTGTTATAGCCGCTATTGCAATTGTAGCCGTTAGAAATCCTCTAATTTTTGGATCAGATATCTCCCCGATATACATGGGCAGAACTGTGTATAAAGCACCTTCTACTGATCCAATAATAAATCGAAAACCAAATATTTCCCAAATTGTTCTGGAAAATGCTATTCCTATAAAGCAAAATGTCACCCATGGAGCCATAAACAATGTAGTATTTTTTCTCCCTATTTTGTCTACTAATATTGCGGCAATAATGGCTCCTGGTGGTGCTCCAATTAAAGGAGCTATAGCACACCATGATCCTTCATTGTTGGTCGTTGGTATTGTGGAATTTGAAGCTAAGAGCTTAGGGAGAAATGGCGAAGTCCATCCTAAGTTTATACCTGAACTGAGTATGGCAAAGGCTCCTGAAAATAACAGAATGTGTAATTAAAATAAAGTTACGTTAGGTTATGTATCTTATATAATCTTACCAGATATAGTTGCAAAATACTGAACAACATATTCTCTGTTCACTGAACTTAAGGAAATTTTCATATTTTTGATGCTTACATTTTACTTCATACGTTCGACAATAATATATATGAAGAAAAATTTTTATCATGACAATTTATTCACCGGTTTTGTTTGTAAAAGCTATCTTCTCGTTTGTTTATTTAAATCGTAACAAAATATGTGAATGTACTTTCCCAGTATTGTTTTTTAGCTGCCGTACATATATTTAAAAAATTGGACTACTCCATTTTTGTTATATCTCAATAAAGGTGGAAATATAACTTGTTTCAATATTTTAGTGTAAATTTAAAGCAAATATAAATAAAAGAAGAATATGTTATAAAGTAAAAGAATATATTATAAGACTACCAAAACCATATGTCTTAAGGTACTCTTAAAATTATAGTTTGCATTTGCAAAGCCAAAGATGTTGTGTTTGAGATTTGCATAGTTTGTTCAGATAAGGCAATAAAACAATAGATTTTGAAAAAAGTGGTTAACCTACTACGTGAAAAATGTACCTTAATTTTACAATGGAAAATTTATATACATATTAAGCTAGATTATGTGATTATTCTATCAACTGCGTGATATTTTTGTCTATTTTTAAGAAACATTCGTGTAAATGTTTTTATACATCTTTTTATGGGAAATATTTTAAAATTGCTATTAAAGAGTGTAATACTTAATTTAGTTTACATCATGTTATTTTATGAACCTTATATTTAATACATAGAATAAAAATCAATGTAATTTGGAACACTGAACTAAATAGTTTTATTTCATCAGAAATTTTAGATTTATTTTCAGGCCACCCTGGATAACAGTAATTATAAACTTTTTGTAAAATAGGATCCCGTTTAGTTTCCGTTGCTATTTGTTTATAATTAATGGGTAAACTCTCATTAATATAATAAATATGACCATAATCTATTTCTTTATTTGAATGAGTTGAAATTGGTAAACGGCTTAGAGCATCAGCATTACAATTTTTCTTTGATTCAATATATCGAATTTCATACTGATATGCTGATAAAATTATTGACCACCTTTGCAATCTGCTAGCTGCTATTTGAGGTATATTTTTCTTTTCTCCGACTAAAAATAATAACGGTTTGTGATCCGTATATAAAATGAATTTAGATAAATATAAATATTCATGAAAACGTTTAACCCCAAAAATTATAGCTAAAACTTCTCTATCTATTTGAGAATAAGCTCTTTCAGCCGAATTTAAAGTACTGTTTGACCAGCGGATCTAAAGCTACGGAAGGAATGCATGAAAAAAAAATCGATATTGCCACGTTTATCTATAAAATTGCAAAATTGCCAGACATGAACTATAAATTTAATATATTTTTATTATATATAATGTGTTTAGCATATATTCTGACGTATATTACTAAGGAATTTTAACGCAGTTCATATTGTTCGATATGTTTTATTTAATAACTTATTTCTTTCATTCTGTATAATCTGCTTATTATGAAAGTTGAAGATTTTTCAACGATATCATTGGCAAACCGGCATCGCCGCGCATGGCCGCCTATTCATCGAACATGATTGGCGAGAGTACGTCACAGGATTTGTTACCACGCGGTTGCCATGGCTTTTACGCCTTTCCTATTCGCTTGCTTTATCCCCAACTTCACGGTCTCTTCTGAAAAGAGTAGGAATATTGAATACTATTGAAATATCCAGTGGCGGTGTCATTTTTTTGATCATTATTACTTTATTTCATTATTTTATACCGGTTATCCTAAACTTTATTCCTATATTTTTAGTATATTTGATAGTTAAGTTGTGTTTTATTGTTTTGTTATCTTGTTATAATGTTTTTCGTTCGTAGTTTTTAATTATTAATATCAAGTTTGATCGTATATTTGTGTTTTAAAACGAATAAATTTGTTAAGGGTAAGACGCTACATAGTCAGACAAGAGAAATAATAGCTAATTTATATAGGTAAGTTAATAATAACGTGGATGAAATCTCATTTGGTGTATTTCCTTGTGTTCATAATAGGGTTTGCGATGAAGAAGCTACAGAGAGTTCGCTTGAGTTGCCGCTTAAACGTAAACTTGAGCGGATATTTCTTTATACCGGAGTTAGCGTATCGGCTATAAAAAAATTCACACAGAAGATAAAAAAAAGGCTGAAAACTAACCCCGATAAAATGATATCCTCTCTGGAAAGAAACGACCACGTGAGACTGCTGTCGAAAAGCTCAACGACTTTTTCGAAGTGGTCAGGAATTTGATAAATAGATTTTATCTCGAATTCAAACTCGTCCCCACAATTAGAAAGCTTTTGCAAAAATTGCAGGAAGAATCGAATTTTCCTTTTGCAGGGAAACGCTTAGGGGGTTATTAAAATCAAATGAATTTTTTTGGCGTAAATGTTAAAATAACAGATAAATATTAATGGAGCGGCCCATTATATTGCAGAGAGAGATATAAATATATATACGCGAAATTCGAAAATATAGCCAAGTATTATCTATTTGGATGTAACATATGGGTAGACAATGACCTAACCTTTAAAAACTGCTGGCGGAGCGATACCATATCTGGTGTAATAGGCAATATCAGATCTACTGATGAGTAAAATTATGTTTTGTTTGCGCTTCCAAAGTTAACTATTTTCAAGATTTTTTTTTGCTGGAAATAGTTATATCTAAAATTATGTATTATAGAAAAAAATATAGTTAGTACAGATATATAAATAAATATACCTCAAGACTCAGTCTTGATCATCTGCTGATGGCAGACATGGTTAGCGAAACGTGGTCCAGTGTAAAATTAAAAGTGTTTTGGTGTATTGTACTGATTTAGTGTTTTATTTTGCTGTGTAACACCAAAGGTTCCAACCCCCAGCTGTAATTATTTCTTCTATTATATTAACAACACAATAATAAAATGATTCAAAATATTTAAGGGAGTTTTAATAAAAGCTTTTAGTGTTTATCTGCTAACTCAACAGTAACGATTCAAACAGCATAAAGTTTTTTGAAAAAAATTATTAATCTGAGTATTATATTCATGATACACATTATTTTCATATAACACCGTACGCCCATGCCTATTTTATGAATGAAATTGGGCGTGTTTTGTTTACAACTGCGTTCCCCTGCCGATACCCCGTAGCTACAGATCCGTTGGTCACACTTATACGTGAAACGTGTGCTATCGGTTTACATTCACCGTTCGGATAGATATGTGATAAAACCGCACCTACTCCAACACTACTTGTGTCACAATGCAGTGCCAATGGTAATTTTGAATTATAGTGTACTAGAACTTTAGATGAAGTTAACTCATTTTTAGTAAATTGAAAAATATCTTCACATTTGTTGTTCCATTTCCATAAAACATTTTTACGTAATAAATTATATAATATATTTAATTTACTGCTTAAATTTGGAATAAATTTTCCGTAATAGTTTACCATGCCTAGAAATGATTTTAATTCCGTTTTATCTTGGGGACTTTTCATTTCAACAATTGCTTTAATTTTTTCGGATGATGGATGAATACCTTCAGCGTCAATAATATGCCCTAAATAGCAAATAGATTTCTGAAAAAATTGACATTTAGATAAATTAACTTTTAATCCACATTCTTTAATTTTATTAAAAACATTACGTAAACGCACTAAATGTTCACTGTCATTTTTTTCTGTATCTAAAATATCGTCCATAAAAACTGAAACTCCTTCTAATTTACAAAAAAGTGTGTCCATTATTTTCTGAAAAATACTTGGACTAGACGCAATACCATACGGCAATCTATTAAAAATAAATAAACCTTTAGATGTGTTAATTGTGCAAATTTTCTTTGATATTTCGTCTAACTCAATTTGTAAATATGCTTCTGAAAAATCAATTTTGCTAAACAATTTTCCGCCATTTAAATTTGCAAATATATTTTCAATTTTCGGAAGAGGGTATTGATTTATTAATAATTTTTGATTAACAGAAACTCTAAAATCTCCACAGATTCTTATATCACCGTTTTTCTTTACTACTGGTACTATCGGACTAGCCCATTCGCTATAATCGATAGGAGAAATGACACCTTTGTCTGTCATTGTTTTTAAAGTATGTTCAACTTTACTCTTTAAATTAATAGGCAAAGGTCTAGCTTTACAGAAAACTGGTGTTACGTTTGGCTTAAGATGTAAAACTGCTTTAAAAAGATTAAATTTACCAGGAAATCTAAGGTCAAATATTTCCTTAAATTCCTTAGTTAATGAATTTATTTCTAGATTGTTATCGCAATGTAAAATACTTTTTACAAGAACATCATTGTATATATTAATTTTTAATCTTGATAGCCAAGTTCGTCCTACAAGTGTTGGTACATTACTGGGTACAATAAAAAGTTCTAAATAAGCCTTATTATTATTATAAATAACATTAACCTTTATGTAACCTATAACTTTTATATTATTTCCAGTAAAGGATGATAGTTTTATATCAGAAAATAATATTGGAATATGAGAAAAATATTTTTTATATAAATCATTCGATATTAAAGATACAGCAGATCCAGTATCCACCTCCATAGATAAATTTATACTTTCAATTTTAACTTGAATTAAAATAGGATTACTATATTTATTAATTGAATTAATATTAGTATGGCATAATTTTAAATAAGTATCCGAATCAGAATCAATTTCATTTAAATTTTGCACATTTGACTCAATAATATTAACATTTTTGGAATTTTTGTTTTTAAAATTGAACTTACAGACATACTTCAAATGCCCCTTTTTTCCACAACGCACACATGTTGCATTTTTATAAAAACAGTCAGATACTCGATTTTTCCTGCCACACACTGTACACTCCCTGTAGCCTTGAGATGTTGATGCAGATTGATTTCCCGGTTTTCTTCTAACAACTCCGCCGTCTGCAGTACTTCTAACGGATGTTCCATGGAAACTTCCAGTTGATGGATGCTGTCTATTCGTATTGAACAATTTATGGATGGATTGTCCGGCGTCCACAAAAGAAACATGTTTTTCTGCCGCTTCAAAGTCTTTTGCCAATGAAAATGCCTTGTTATATGTAAAATTTTTCTCTGAAAATAGCCTCTGTTTGATATTTTCATTTTGAAGTCCAGAAACAAACTGATCACGTAGATTCTCGTCCAGTTGTGCTCCAAAACCACATGTTTT